ATTTCTGTCAACACTGTCCTTACTCTCTGTAGTTCACCTGCTCCCCAGGACCCAGGAAGGAACAGCCTAGCTCTCGAGCTAGACACTGAAAGCCAACACCTGTGCACAACTCATCCTACTCAAGTTCCTACTATTGCCCCTTCTGGCAGCTTACACTCTTGCCCCAATCCTTAGCTCAGGCTCAACATTTCCTTTCTTTTCATTCTGGATTCGAATCCTAATAAAAGATGAAGATGCAGTTCAAATGCCTCTTCTTGAAGCCTGGCTTTCCTCTACAGTTCTAAATAGGCCGTTCTCTTCTTCCCTTCCACAGAAATGGGCTCAACCTGTCTGTGGCCCTGGTCACTGCGTGTCTAACAACACAGTGGACTCACACTTCCATCGTCTCAACCCCGATGGTCTGGAAGGAGCTGAAGGTAGATTTCATGTATGAGTCTGTGGCCCTGCTGGGATCACACGGCATCCTGAAAGACTGTTGGATGTTTAACACTGTAGGCATTGGGACAAATGCCTATAACAAATCCAAAACCAAACCATTCTGATTTATTTTTAGATTAATTTTCCAGTGTATATATACCATGAGTATAGTAACAGATGTTCCTTGTATATTCTAAAATGTATACTCATTAACTATATGTAAATTCAATTGTTTTTAAATTGTTTTCTGCCCCAGTCCCTCAATATCATGTCATTCTTGGCCATTCCTAAAGCCCCGCCCTCACCCCATTAGTTAAAAGTCAAGGACACGGTGAGGATTTCTGCCGCATACATCACTTCATAATTTATATTTCTTGGTAATAATTTAAAGTGGTTTTTATCTTACATAATGAAATGGATGTAAATATTAAAACTCCCACAGAATCAAAGCAGCCTTGTCTTCAAAAACATATCCACCAAGAACCCTTTAATTCGGAACTTAGGTTACACAGTAAGTGATTAAATTATAATAACTAATATTTATTATTCTTCATCTTAACTATTTTTACTGAGGCTTAATTTGATGGTACCTTGGGGTGCCTTGTTGGTATCTTAAACTATTTCTCTAACTACTATAGAATGAGCATTAATCATGGAATCAAAACTTGTGGTAAGCTTTATAATTCATCAGTGGTGCTTTTCCCTAGGAATTCAGCTAAGAAAGAATATTTAGTGAATGAATTAATCTGTTCTCACACTAGTATAAAGACATACCTGAGACTGGGTAATTTATAAAGAAAAGAAGTTTAATTGACTCACGGTTCTGCAGGCTGTACAGGAAGCATAGAAGCTTCTGCTTCAGTGGTAGCCTCAGGGAGCTTCCAATCATGGTGGAAGGCAAAGAGGGAGCAGGTGTTTTACATAGAGGAGCAGAAGCAAGAGAGAGCAGGGAGGGGCCACACGCTTTTAAACAACCAGATCTCACGAGAACTCACTATCACCAGAACAGCACCAACAGGAAAATCCACCCCCAAAATCGCCTCCCACCAGCCTCCGACTTTAACGTGGGGGATTACAATTCCATACGAGATTTGGGCAGGGACACAGATCCAAACCATGTCAGTGAGGAATAATGACTCATTTGTGCAGAGTAAACAGGCTTTGCTACAAGTTCTGCTACGCTGAACTTCAACCGGTTTTGATGGTATGACTGTTCCCACTGGAAACGAAGTCTGTTCGAGGTTCTTGGCCCAAATCTTACAATTAACAAGTTGTAGAAATGATATTTGAATCCAGGTCTGTCATTCCTCTGCTTTTCCTATGACCCTGGTTGGCCTTCCTAATTAAAGCCATAAATCTGAGTATGTCAGGGAAGTTGCTTTACTTCTGAAGTCTAATCTGTTTCTTGCACTGTTTCTACATTCTTCCCTCAACCTTGTTAAGGGGAACAGAAAGAGTTCTGCCTACTCCAGTGTATCTCTGATGAGAAATGAGAACTTTGCTCCAATCCTTTCTGAAATGAGAATATTCCAGCCAGTGTGCACGTGCAGTTACACTGTTGAGAGATCATCCCAGCTCCCTCACGGTGTGAAAAGCAATTTCACACAGGCCTGTCTCCACGCGGCCTGCTCCATGGATTAGCCAGAGAGAAAACACCTGCCTGCTCATCCCGTGCGGCCAGCGGTCATCAGACACAAAATGGGTGTGATCCACTCGAAGCCTTGTGAGGAATCCAGCTGCCCCTGGAAAACCTGTTTGCAAATGGTCACCTGCTTTGCATTGTCCACTTGGTGAGTTTTCTGCATCTGCTCTTTAAATACAACCAACACGTATAGCAGCATCATTTTGTAAAACACCGTAAGAAAAGATGAAGAAGCGATTGCCCGCCCTACCTCTGCTGCTCCAGGCCCGCTGCCTTGGGTTGGGATCCGGAGAGGAGTGAGGAGACCTTACCTTCCCTCTCCCCAGCCACAAGTCCTCCCCCACCTGACCATCCAAATCCCATCTACCGAGGATGAATGGGGCCCAAGAGGCATATTTCTAAAGTGCTGCTAAAAGAGGTATTTATAATGGATGGAATTTTCATAATTGCTCTATGTAGGTCTGTTTAAGATATGAAAAAGCTGTTTGAGTTTCATTTGGCGACAGAAGCTGGAGCAATAGAAACCCTCTTAGGTCACTTCATCTATCCCTCTGCCAGCACCTCTTGTATATTGGTCTTTTTAAATGAAACAAGTGGCTGCTACTGCCCGGGAAACTCATTCTGCTGTCTAATAAAGTGCCACAGGGAAAAATGTTCCCTAGTTTCCAACTGAAATGCCCCTCTTCCAACTTGATTCTTCACTAACTCACTCTCAGTCAAAGGAGATTTCCCCATAAAATGATTTTTCCTTACCGCACACATGTCTGACACTTTAGGGCAAAACTTCAGCTGAGCCTGGCAGGACCGGGGAGGCAGGCAGAAGGTGCTGCTCCAACTGCCACCGATCTGGCAGAGTGGCTGCAATACCAGGGATGTGGCCTGGCAAGGCAGCATCACCTGAGGACGGACTCGTTCCCAGCAAGGACTCCTCCAAGGAAACTAGGCTTGTTTTTCTGAAAATTAACTCTGAAATAAAGGGTCTTGCACATGTCTAAGGCTTTACTCCCCAGCATGGGGCCTGGATGCATCCACATCCGCTGGGGCTTGTTAGAAATGTAGACGCCACCAGGCACGGCAGCTCAGCCTGTAAACTCAGCACTTTGGGAGGCGAAGGGGCGTGGATTACCTCAGGTCAGGAGTTCAAGACCAGACTGGCCAACATGGCAAAACCCTGTCTCCACTAAAAATACAAAAATTTGCTGGCTGTGGTGGCAAGCACCTGTAATCCCAGCTACTCGGGAGGGTGAGGCAGGAGAAACACTTCAACCCAGGAGGTGGAGGTTGCAGTGAGCTGAGATCGAGCCACTGCACTCCAGCGTGGGTGACAGAGCCAGACTCCTTATCAGGAAAAAAAAAAAAAAAAAAAAGGAGAGAAAGAAATGTGGACTCTCAGGTCCCACCTCACAACTACTGAATCTGAATCTGCATTTTATCCTGACTGCAGTGGAATCACTTGGGGAGCTTTAGAAATTTTGGATGTCTGAACCCCCCTGCCAGAAATTCTCATTTAATTGATCTGGCATGTGGCTATGCATGGGGATTTTTAAAAGCTCTAATATTCAGCAAAGTGTGAATATAAAGCAAACTGCTTTAAGACACACCTTCAGCCGGGCGCGGTGGCTCAAGCCTGTAATCCCAGCACTTTGGGAGGCCGAGACGGGCGGATCACGAGGTCAGGAGATCGAGACCAGCCTGGCTAACACGGTGAAACCCCGTCTCTACTAAAAAAAATACAAAAAACTAGCCGGGTGAGGTGGCGGGCGCCTGTAGTCCCAGCTACTCAGGAGGCTGAGGCAGGAGAATGGCGTAGACCTGGGAGGCGGAGCTTGCAGTGAGCTGAGATCCGGTCACTGCACTCCAGCCTGGGCGACAGAGCAAGACTCCGTCTCAAAAAAAAAAAAAAAAAAAAAAAAAAAGACACACTTTCACCTTGCAAAGTTCCTCTAGTAGCCCACCAACCACATCAACCTCCTTGAGCTCACACTGGATGCACCCTGCTGAACACCCCCTGACCTTAGCCCACTTTGCACGAGGAAGCACAGTGGAGGCTGCTGGGGGCTCCAGCCTGGCCCTGCCTTTTATAGCTGTGCCGCCTTGGCAAGCTTCCTAACTCACAGAGGCACACTTATCTTTTAAATTAGATTAATAGTATCACCTGTCTTTCCAGGCTGGAGTGAGGGTGAAATGAGAAATGCAAAAATATAACAGGCTGGACAAACCCTCTTACCTCTCCTCTGCCTTAAGAACTATTGAACTCACACTCAAAAAAATCCATAAACCAAAATTGTCCCAAAAGGGAAGGAGGAGGGATCAACTGTCAACCAGTATAGAACTTCAGTCAACTTCTGAAAGATGACATGGCTGGACACCCATCAACAATTGAACCACCAGACGAAACTGATGTGAAGAATACCCACAGGGAGATGGTGGGATGCAACCTCATCCTCCCAGAACATCCTCCTGGAGGTGCCGGGCTGAGGAGTCCACAGGAGCAAGGGAGATGGTGAGATGCAACCTCATCCTCCCAGAACATCCTCCTGGAGGTGCCGGGCTGAGGGTCCACAGGACCAGGGAGATGGTGGGATGCAACCTCATCCTCCCAGAACATCCTCCTGGAGTGCCGGGCTGAAGTCCGCAGGACCAGGAGATAGTGGGATACAGCCTCATCCTCGAGAACATCCTCCTGGAGAGTGCCGGGCTGAGGTCCCACAGGAACAGGAGATGGTGGGATGCAACCTCATCCTCCCAGAACATCCTCCTGGAGGTGCCGGGCTGAGGTCCACAGGAGCAGAGGAGATGGTGGATGCAACCTCATCCTCCCAAGAACATCCTCCTGGGTGCCGGGGCTGAGTCACCGCAGGACCAGGAGGCAGTGAGATGCAGCTCATCCTCCCCAGAACATCCTCCTGGAGGTGCCGGGCTGAAGTCCACTTCAGAACATCCTCCTGGAGGTGCCGGGCTGAGGGTCCGCAGGACCAGGAGGGGCATGAGAAGTGGAACTGGATATTAATGACAGAGCCCACCTCCTCACCCAGCCTGCCAGGGAGGAGCTGTCAGAGTGGGTTCACTTGGCCTCCCAATCTCTTCTCATGTGGATGATCAGTCGGATTGCCATGTCTCATGCTGGTACCTGTTGTTGGACTTGTCATGCAATTCTGAGACCCTCATCTGTTTCCCACTATATAGTGACCTCCTGGAGAACATGATAAAGCTGTTGTCATCTTGCTAAACCCATATCTCCATAGTCCACTCAAATAATGGGTGTTGAAGCAAAGTGATTTTTCTAATTTGTCTTTCATCCCCACTCACAGCCTGGAAGCTTTACTCCTGTCCAGTACATAAAGCATGCGAAATTGGGGCTGCTTTTTCTCGAACGTCTAGCTTCCACACTCTTCTTCTGGCTCTACTATTCATACGTGCCATCCCTACATGCCAGAAATCCTACTTTTTAGCCATGCCAAATACAAAAACTCAAAGTAAAGGGGTATTTTGCAAATATCCAAACCATGGCATAAGGGAATAGCTAGCTGGTCATTTCCCACAAGGTGCCATTTTCTATGTAAATTATCCTCTGTCCTTATTTTGCTCCTTACTGGTTTAGAAACCTTCATTTATCATCATCAAAATAGAACGGTTGTATCTTTTGTGACAGTCTCACATTAACCAAGCAAGCAAGACTGATTTATAAACTAGATGCCAATCCACGGCTGACCCACCCACCTTTTATGTGCCAATTCTGCCTCTGGATATATTAATGCAGTCAATTAATGAATTCACTCAAGTTCAAGCTAAGATTGGCAAAGTGGGAGCCATTCTGATCTGTGAATGTGCTCTTGACTGTCTGCTGCTCCTGACCTGTGCCGATTTCATGAAACAGTACTATAGAGTCACGCACCACACATAACACGTTTTGGCCAATAATGCATCACGTACAATCTTATGGGGCAGTCGTCCATAGTACTGCACCTTTACTGTACCTTTTCTACGTTTAGATACACAAATACTTTCCATCGTGTTACAATTGCCGACAGTATTCAGTACAGTAACATGCTGAACAGGTTTACAGCCCAGGAGCAGCAGGCTACGCTACCCAGCCTAGGTATATACTAGGCCATACCATTTAAGTTTACGTGAGTGCACGCCACGGTAACATCAAAGAGAGAGGTATTTGTCAGACAGTATCCCTGTCATTAAGTGATACATGACTGATTCTACTGCTAGACTTTTGGAAGGGGAAAGAAACATGTTGCTGTAGTCCTCAAGCACCAAATTAATTGCTATACTCTAAATGGCTTATTCTGTATTTTTACACTCATTTTCTTCTACTGGAATTCACTTTCCATACTTACCTATTTGACATATATTTACTTGTATTTTCGCTTCCAGCCCAAATGTTACTCCTCTCATACGTGTTTCTTCAATCCCATAGGCAGCTCCTGGGAACATCCATTACACTTTGCTCGGGTTCCCCTGTGAGAACTTGTTCTGTGAAAGATGTCATCGTGCGTTGGGTTCTAAAGCAGTAGAAATAAACAAGGCACCATCCCTGATCTCAAAGAACCAACAGATTAGTGAAGCAGATAGAAATTTAGATGTATGATTTTATCTAGCTTTGGTCTCTGGAAACCGTTGAATAAGAAAACCTCTATTTTAAGTCAAATTATACTTAAAGTCAGAGTATGCAGTTGCAAGAGAAATAAACTGAGTGTGGCTGAGTTAGACATAAAGAGATTGTATTAAAACGTTGCAGAGTACTTTGCAAAATCACTGAGAGGGGTTGAGCAGCAGATTTACAGATGGTTCACTGGGAACAATGCTCCTAAATCAGGCCACAGAACTGGTCTGCTGAGGACAGCCCTGTGGCCCAGCAGCAGGCTGCATCTTGCACCTCAATGCCACTTACCTGATTCCTGTATGGTGGCACCAGCACCACTTCCCAAGTAAGCAACTGGGCTACAACCACCACAGCCACACCATGGCCACACCACAGAATCTCTGTCGTCTCTGCCCCACTGAGGACTTACAGCCCATGGCATATTTGTCTGATGGTGAGTGCCACGTCTATTCCCAAGGTGCATGGGAGGCTGTCAAAGCCAACTACCTGGCATTTGAAATTTCCGTGACGGGAGGTGGCTTCTATGTCCCGTCAAGGCTCCCAGGGCCCCCAAAAAGTAGCAAAGGTCTTGAAACAGAGAATATATGCTCAGGTGCTGGCAGTCAAAAATGTGAGATGGATTCATTACGATAAACGCCTTGTTGAGAAAGCAGGACGTTTGGAGGAAGCTCTTAGCAATAGCCTAGGCCAATGTCTACCTGATGGCAAGAACTCCATAATCCCTTAGATTGGGGGGAAAAAAGTGAACGGGGAGAATGCAGAGGCTCTATCTTTCTCCTTTTCTTTAAAAGGAACTTAACTAGAAATGCACGCAGAAGTAAATAAAGGTTACTGATGAACCTTTAGAAAGTATTTGTTATAAGAACCTTTCTGAAACACTTCGAAAGTACTTTATCCAACTACTTGGCCTTACAGATTAAACTGGTGCCTTGAAAGTCTAGGGTCATACCTCCAGGGATGCATGGCTGGTTAGGGGTCAAACCCAAATTAGAACCTAAATCTCCAGCGTTCTATCCAGTTATCTTTCTACTAATTAGTGTTTTTAAAAATGTACACTCTCTAAATTACCTCTGAAAGATTCTTGGCACAATATAGATTCCTAGGCAGGTTGGACTATGGCTGGTCAAAATGGCATCAAGTCTGTTCCATAATAGCTACATTTAACTATCAGACTCTAAAATAGGTAATTAACTATTTCCCAGAAAATTTCTAAGATCCTCCAGGACATCGTTTTTATAAGACAAAAGGTAAGAGTTTAGGTTAATTTCACTTCCCATACATGTAAGTTTAGAACTTGAATAATTTTTCTTTGCTCTGGCCTAACAGATCTGCACACTCTGGTTGGTTGATTAGTACATTTAAGGGGTTCATTCTGGTTGAGGGTGAGATATAAAAAGCATGTGTGGGACAGTTTTCTAGCAACTAATACTATACGCAGACTGTTCGGGTGATAGAATGTTGCATCTGAAGACAGCATTAGATATTCAGCTTTCAATCTCTCCTTATGAGCTCTTTAAAATCCAAGCTGTTAAACAGCAGCTGAAGCTTTATGTTCGGCCACTGCAGCCAAGACCACACCGAACTGGGACGGGCATATGTGCAATCCTGGGGAGGGCTGCTGTGGGCAGGGGCTGGGCTCTGCTGCATCAGTCACACTTCAAGTCTGTAACTTCTGCTTGTTTTACAGGACCCTGAGCATCAAAAGGGGCTACCTCTGTGTAATTCAGAATGGCAGAGCCTCATGGGAGGGGATTGGAGAGAAAGAAACAAATGGTTTCCAATGACTAAGAGCCAAAATGAGGACAAGGCTTTCCTCAACTCTGCAGAAGGACAGAAAGTTTCAGCAGGGGAAGCAAACTTCTCCAAGCTTTAGAAGTCATCCCATGATACTGTGGATGTTCCGTGGGAAATTCCCTTGTAACTGTTTCAAAACCAAATTTCCCACTGTCCCTGTAAACCAATTCTTTCTCCAGGATACTTCCTCAGTGGCCGGTGCCACCTCCCATCCAGCCTCCTTTGCTAGTGTAGGGTGAACATTAAAAGTCTGCTATTCAGACTGATAGAAACACTGACTATAGCTATTTCTAATTCCTAGAGAATTGACATTTCTTGGAGTCTATAATTCTTTTGCTTAGCAAAATACCTTACTGTCCTATTTTCTAAGTTGAAATCCCCAAGACTTACACTGGAAAAGAAGAGACGAATTACTCAACAATACAAAAAGAGAGGATGCCAAGTAGTCTCGGTACCCAAAGAGGGAGTACAATGCCTGGAAAAGGAAAACCGGAGAAGACAGGAACAGATAATGAGTCATGAAGCACATTTTTGTAGATAGTAGTGAAGCCAGAGGTACAAATTATCATGACTAACCATCAGAAAGAGTTGTGCTAATAGCCCTGTGGCATTCTGAGACAAAGCAGGGTCTCTTGGGGACAGACACAAGGCTGGAGCCAAGACAGCACCTGGACAAGGAGGGCAAATCTCCCAATTCGAGAGGGACAGGTAGGTAAAAGCTCATCAGAGCCTTTACTTGCCTCTGTGAATGAAGCAGACACAGTCATTCCAGGCGGATGGATCTGATTGGAAGGACTGAGAGGACCACAGGGTGGGGTGCAAGACTTCTGAGTGGCATCTGTTATTACAGTCATGAGCAGCATCTGACTCTGATTGGCACATCCACATCCTGCTGTCAGAGTTTCTAAACTTGGGAATATCCACTGGACTTCCTTTGCCTCATCCTGTTTGCTGTGGAGTCCGATCTCCATCCAGATGGCACTGGCATGTGCAGATAGAGTTGTACATTTTTCTTGGGAAGAGTGATAGTTATTGAATCCTTCTCAGAAAAGCTCCATGGGTAGAGCATAGGTACAAAAATGGAATGCTAGTCAAAGAAGTATGTAAAATGTTCAAAGAAAATTTCTAGGCTCTGGACTGTGTTATTTCCTAGAGCTATTGTCTAATTTTCAAAAGGTTCAAAAACACAACTCTCACAGAAATATGAACACAACGTCCAAGTTCTACTCAGTTCATTAATTAGTGAGGAAGCCGCTAAGATGTTAATACGGATTCAAAGGAGAATTTGCGGAGCTGGATATTTATGGACAGTTTAATATGAGAATATTAGGAAAAGACTGCTTAGGTGAGAGACACAATTGATTGATATTTTACGAGGTCATAAGCCATATTTGGGAGGATGTTTCCCCCAGTGGATGGTAATTATTTGCATCTCTACCAGATGAAAATCTATAAGTTAACTTTGCCCCTAACGAAGCTGTCAAATAGCTCGGTCAACAAAAAGTCAATCAAAGATGCAAAACCAGCTCTGCACTGAGAAAATACTTACTAATCTTTGCCTATTTTCTAACTTCAGATAACTTTTCTGATATTAGAAAGCTCTCAGACAGCTCCTCTTAGGATTCTCAGGCAGAACTATATTAGCATGAACTACAAAAGACAGTTCACGGATCCTATTAATTTCTCAATATACCTTAAAATAAGGGTAAGATGAGGGAATAAATGTCTCAGTGAATGAGGCTCCAAGAAGAGCCTAGACAACATTTGGCCAAATTAAAAGAACAGACTGCTCAGTGGCACGTGTGTGAAAGGATATTTCTTCCCCTTCTGTCGCATATGGAAAGACTTCTTAGAGTACAAACTCCAATAGGAATGCACTCTTTTGCTAGTTCTCTAGTGGATGAAGAGTAAAGCTGATATTTTTTCCATATAAGATGAGTACGCTAAGCTACACATCTAGAGGAAATTGCCCTATTCATATATTTTTGTTTTCTTTTTCTGAGCTTGCCCAAAGGAATTTGGCAGTCTGTCATCAAAAAGGAAGAAAGTATTGGGTTCTAAAATGCTAGTTTCTGTTTCTTTTTTCATTTTTTAAAATAACGTTGTTTTACTATCTTGCCCTTCAGAGGAGAGTGTTTTCTCAAACACAGGTGATATGGTTTGGCTGTGTGTCCTCATCCAAATCTCACGTTGAATTGTAATCCCCATGTGTCAGGGGAGGAACCTGACGGAAGGAGATTGAATATTGGGGGGTAGATTTCCCCCTTGCTGTTCTCGTGATAGTGAGTGAGTTCTCACAAGATGGTTTAAAAGTGTGGCACATTCCCCCCTTGCTTTCTCTGTCTCCTGCCACCATATAAGACGCCTCTTGCTTTCCTTTCACCTTCCGCCATAATTGTTTCCTGAGGCCTCCCCAGCCATGCGGAACTCTGAGTCAATTAAACCTCTTTCCTCTATAAATTACCCAGTCTCAGGTAGTTCTTTCCAGCAGTGTGAAAACAGACTAATACATCAGGTATCAGCATAATCTTTCATTTCAGGAGACTATTTTAGCAGTTTCATTTGTAGCTAGTCCTCCTGTACTGAAATCTTAAGTAGACCCATATAATGGTCATGCATGAAGAACTCTTTTGTATGACAATGAGTGGTCAACTGGGTGCTGAAGGGACACCTGCACCTACCCCGCCTGGGGGAAGTTCGTCAGTCCACAGCTCTGGCGACCTAGCAGAATCTATGCTCTGCTCAGGTTAGGCCAAGATCATCCAGACCTGAGTCCCACTTCTATGAGTAGCAAAGCCAGCCTCAGTGACCAAATCCACCCAGGGAGCTCTAAGAGTTCTCAAAGCTTGTTTGCTTGCTGGATGAGCAGTAAACAGGTGTTACAGCAGCTTCCTATGAGCCGTCAGTGCCCCCATCCTGGACTCGACTAACTTTGTGATCTGATCCAGCTCACCAAACAATCTGAAACTTTTATACTTCATTCCCTTTCCTGCTCTAGGAATGAGAAACACTGAATACATCAGCCAAATATCTGTATAGCCAGACTTTTCAGTATAACAAGGTTTCCAAGTCCCAGTCACATTTAGATCAAGGCGCATAACGCAACAGATTTCTAGGTCTAACTCAAGAATTTTGATGATCTATTACGGTTTGTCATAATGAGATTTAGCCTTTACTATAATTTAGGGCAAGAAACACTGAATTGGAATCTTAAGTCCAAAATTGTTGTGTAGAGGAAGCTCTCTCCAATCACTTTATAGAATGCATTGATTGCTGGAAATATCATCTTACTCATTCCATGTGTTTCTAGATTTCAGTTTTCTAAGTGCCATAAGCCTACCTAATTTTACCATGGGGCATCTGTAGATATATTTCTACCAAGGAATAAAAACTTCCATAAATCTATCCTGTGAGCTGTAGATGCCATTATAGCTTGAGGGTTTTTTTCCGCTTTTCCTAAGCAAGTTAATAATATTTAAATGGTTTAAATGACCATTTTCCTGTTTCCAAGCAGAAAATCAGAACTTATTTGTGTATTATGGTAAAATACAGGCAAATAATGCCTTAGCCTGGCATCTCTCAATCCTCCACTTAAATGAAAACTGATACCTTCAAGGTCATAAAACCTCTGCCTTGAGAGAAACAAACCGAGAAGCCCTAATGATGCCCGTTCAGAAGGCAGGACCTTGGTCAGGGCATGAAGACTCGAAAAATCAAATCAATACGGCCGCCAGAGTAATACAGAAAGTGGGCCGAAGAGAAGTGCCGGCCTAAACTCCTCTGTCGGGGATTATACGAGCAGTTTTTGTGACCATTTTAAACATTTCTCACATACTTTTGGCTTTGTGGAAACACATCCCCTCTCTTTATATTCACATCTGTTTCCCATGTTAGAATATAAACATATTTAAGAAGTATACAGACATCCTTTTCTATACTTCCATGTATTTAAGATTTGAATGCATTCAGTTGCAGGCACCAACTGTACTTTAGAAAGGCACTGTTGATTCTTTTTTGGTGAAAAGTATGCACATTAGTGTTTCCTAAGAAGAATGTGCAAGAAGGAATGTATGAAATGAGCCTTTCTCTTGCCATGTGGGGCTCAGAGTAATAGTAAACATGTTGTCACTTTTAGTCAAAAAACAAAAACATATGAGAGATGATGGTGAAGGGATGACTTCAGAATGTGTTATCTGAGGTTTCTATTTTATCCCTCACTCCTATACACACGTGCATGGGCATGTGTGGGTGCGTGTGTGTGCACGCACGCACGCGCGCACACACACACACCCACACACTTGAGTTGCATGTGCAAAGCTGCAGAGAAAAGTTTGGGAGATTGGGATGGTGCGTCTTTGGAATCCAGGAAATGAGGGCTGGAGATTCTGGAACTCTGTGGGATCCATGTGAGCCTTTCCTGAGAGTCGGGGAGGAATGTGATCTTGCTTGACAGAGCCAGACATAACGGCCTCTGTTGGACACCAGCTTTGGCTGCAGACTGTCCACAAGTGATGCTGAAAGAAGGCCGGGATGTCTGTAGGATATGCTTAGACTAGTTGACCCGAGAAGTGTTTTGGTATAATTAAGGAAAAAGACCATGACACAAAGAAAAAGGAGGTGTTTTTTCATGAAATGTTAGCAAAGCTGAGAATGGCTGGAGAGGGACAGGGCAGTGTGGAGAGGCCAGCAGGGTACTGGGGAGATGGGAGACGTTTACATGGAGGCTGTGAAAGGGAGCTTAGATAGCGAGCTCCTGGATGCTGTGTAAACCCCAAGTCCTGTCAAGATACACATCACCAAGTCAGTGACTGCTGTGGAATGCAGCTTGTGCCTTCACCACTTCAGAGCCAGCTTTTGGGGAGAAGGTGACCCTGGGCCTCTGCTCTTGGTATCCTCTCCTGTCCTTTCCTTCCTTAACCCCCATGCAAGCCTGCTCAGTCCTTTGTCTCTGGGGCGATCACATGAGTACACGATTGTTGCCCAAACTGGGACCTTCTGGTGACAGCAAGGGACGCATGATGAACTATGACGTGAGGCTGCAGCAGGAACTGGACCCTCTCAGGCAAATACGCAGCCACTGATTTTTGCTCCAACCTGAGTTGACTCCAGTATTTTAATCTTCCACTGGAATTTTTCTTTCATAGATTTTCTTCATATTACTGCAATTTTAGGAATTAGAGAAAAGATGACAAGATATATTTGGTAACATAGAAATTCCCTCTACTCCTTAGAAGACAAAAGAATAATTTCCCTGGCTCTATCATTTATTTATTATATGATTTGTGGAAATTCCTATAAACTTTCTGTAGCTCTATTTCTTCATTTGCATAAGGCAGTAATAATACTGAATGATACTAACAAGAAAAGTTGTGAATATTTCATGAGAAAATTCATGATGAAGGGGCTTTGCCAAATGTAAAATAGCTCCTAAATAGCTATTGTTTTAATCATCATAACTGTCATCATTATTATCAGCTTCTACTCTAACGAAAGCTAAGGGACACTCAGAAACTGCATGCTGAATTATTGATCTCTGTTCATATTCATTTTTAATGTCATCAAATTGTTGATAATATAACATTTAACCCTTCTAAACTTCACTTGAACAAAGGGTAACAGGGAGGTGTCAGTTCGGAAGAGAGTGGGCACTCAACATAGACTGACTTATGATGAAATCCGCATTCCAATATTTATGAGGCATGAACATTTTCCAAAGAGTGACATGGGAAAATTTGTTTCCTTGATTTTCTATGTTCAGCACTCCAAAATCTAACATGGCAACAGGGTAAGTGTGGGGGCATCACTGAACGAACATGCATGAAAATGTATTTACAGTCTCAAATCTCAAAATACGACATGATGAAGTTGCAAATGGGCAATTTATTCTCAATTACAGAAAGCGTTGGAGAGATTTTCTTTTGTGCTTTTAGAATAGTGGAGTGGAGGAGAGGTCCTGGGAACAAACGCTGCAGGAGGAGGTCTGTGCTGGGAATCTACGTCAGCCCACACTTTATGACCAGGGGAAGTGATCTCAGACTTCTGGGTGTGACGAGGAAACTGGCTGAGCTAGATTCCCTCTAATATTCTTTCTAACAGTCTAGCATCTTGTGATTATTCGAGAAAGGAAACACGATTAAAAGTAGAGCAAAACACAGCTTAAAACCCCATTTACCATCGCGTTCTTGAGTGACTGAGGAGGGAAGGAGAGCCTCTCCATTGTACGCTCCTCTTTCATGTCTTAATGATGATAATGTGACGATGATTATGTTGATAAAACATGCTGAGAAAACCTTTTTGTGTATAGAATAAAATGTTTTCTATGGCATTTTTCTTTCCCAGTGAGAATTGATTTGAATCATGATGCCTTACACACAATTTCCTTATCGGTAAAATAGTCATAAGAATGAGATGAGAGATTTGGAGTCAAATAGAACTTGTTTCTATCTGCCAGACAGAGCTCTGCCAAATTCTAGAAAGTATCCTTATTTTCTCCATCTGTAAAATGAGATGAATACCTTATCATGGAACGCAACGTGCGGTATTATGTGCAGAGCACTTACCTGGATGCCTGGAACACAGTGAGGCTCCAGGCCACGCATACTTCCTTCATTCAGACTGGCACTCGCTGCTGCACCCTGGCCCTTTTTGAGCACCTGGGTGCAATGACAAAATGAGCAGTCATTGCTTTTGCTGTCAGAAATCTTAAAGGCTAGTGTAAGGATATTAATTAAATAATGGCACTAAGAAAAATACAACTGAAAACTTTCATAAATGCTCTTATCAAAGGAAAAAAGAAAAAATGGAGGTCCATAAAAGAACAGACGACAAAGAGCTAATTTGGTCTGGGGATTTACGAAGTCTTCTCTGATAAAATTGTATTTGATATAAAATCTGAAATAAAAGAACGAATAAAGTTGATGTGGAGAAAGAATAGGAACAGCTCTGCATGTAAGCAGAATAGGAGGTGCAAAGATGCGGGGCAGGAGGTGACCTTGGGTTGGATGACTGGGCACAGTGAGCGAAGGGTAAGTAGCAAGTGATGAGGCTGCGTATGCCTGAATCACAACCATGGGTATGGTTCAAGTACGTTCCTGCTGTGTTAAAGAAAGCAGGGAATGAGCTAGCTCAGGGATTGGTAAGGTTTTTCTGCATATGGCCAGGTAATACATATTTTAGGTTTTGCAGACAATGGGCCCCATCACAACTATTCAACGCTGCCATTGTAGCATGAAGCAACCGCAGACAATACATCAACAAGTGGGTGGGGCAGTGTTCCAAAAAGCTGAACCTTGATTTTCTGATAATTTTCACATGTCAAGAACTACTGTTCTTCTCTTGACTTTTTCCAACCATTTGAAAATACAAAAATTATTCTTAGCTCACAGTCTATAGTTGGCTAAACTGAGCTAACTAATTGTTGGATTTTTTTCTCTAGGCATTTTATGTTATGCCCAAGACATGCCAAGGACATAGGTAGGAGCGGTAGGGGTGAGTACATACCAGTGCCAGCCTCCACTGTGCCCACAATCTAAGCTCTGATCTAGCCAAAAACTCCGAAAGAATTAACAACTGGCTAATTGAATGAAAAAGTGAATCAAATATGAACTGAATGAATGAATGAAGTGAGTGGTTACAGGAAAGAAAGTCTGATGAGCTGGATCCAGCTTACCCATCTTCTTGCACTTACATTTGCCGGACAGTTCTTACAGGCAAAGACTCACTTTGCATAGATAATTAGAAACATTTTGTGAGTTAAGAGAGAAGAGAGGCTGGCCTGAATGTTACTATGGAGCATGGGCACATTAAAAAGGATCCAAAAAAAAAAAAAAAAAGTCTGCTGGTCTGTGCTGGAAGAGACATCTTCCAATTCCCCCAAAACTGAGTTCAGCCAAGTTGGCATATGCAAAAGCTTCACCATTGTCTCTTTCAAAGAAGAGACACGTCAAGGGAAAAACAAGAAGCCTAGCGGTTGAAGAAAAACGGAAAGAAAACACACAATTGCTCTTAGTCTGTCATTTCCCCCACAGAGTAGTAAATAAGAGCTTTGATACATAAAAGCAGTTATCAAACAGTAACAAATTAGTTCTTCACCATCTGTGATCCACGAGAGGGGGTGACAGTTTTAGTGCAAGATTTTAAAATATGAAATCAACTATTTATGAACTGGGTTCAGAGTCTCTGTGTCTACCCGGCCTCTTCAAGCACAGCCACAAGAAAGCACTGAGGTTTTCAGCTAACAAAAGCCATCAGTGGTGGCTCCTCTCTTTAAAATGGGCTAATTACCGCCTGACATTTGTAAACAAGATGTTTCCTCCCCTACTGCAGCTTGCCATACTCACATGCTTTCACTTCCTTTAGAGAAACCAGCTTCACACAAAAGGCTGGTTGTCAAAAGACCCTCAAGGCACAGGAAGCGCAGCTCCCTTGCTACCTTGATCTGGGTTCTGGCCAGATGCTCCTTGATCAGCCTGGATCAGGTGCCCCAAGTCTTGCCCTTGGGCTCCTCAGTGATGCTACTGGAGCCTACCACCTTCCTGTCAATCAAGCCAGTCATCCTCAGTTCTCCAGGATTGTCTGTGTTACTTGGCTGTTGCTGACTCCAGGCAGGGCCCAGGCAGGCTTGACCAAGCAGTGGGTCTCCCAGGTGGCAGGGAGCACCTCTTCCTCCTCTTTCTCCCCTATCCTACCTGAATCTTCGCTGGAGAAATCAGAGGGTGCCAGACCCTGATCCTCAGCCAGGATTGGACCCGCAGTGCCGCCTTCATCTTACCTCATACTGTCATGTGAGACTTCTGAGAAGGGTTGCACGTCCTCAAAGGAGCTCCTGGTTCCTACTTTGGGGTCTGGGCGTAGAGTTTATAAATGAAAGTATATGGTTTTCCAGAAACCGAGGGGGAGAAAACACCACCGGATGTTCGATCTGATGCCTCTTCTGTAAGACATTTCCTTCCTCCATGAGTTATTGTAGATTTCCAGTCCAGTTCCTTGCCTCTATCTCTTGCTCTCCTCCTCCTCTTATTTCTCCTTTGTTCTTTTTGCCCAGCAGGAGCAGGCTGAAAGTAAGTAAATAACAACTTACTACATTTGCTATTTACTATAACAGTTTAATAAGAAAACAACCAGGTTTGCAATCAGAAAGAAAGTGGTGTTCAAATCTTGCTTTGGTTATCACCTCAGCGTGTGTAGCAGGAGAGTGACTTCAGTGTTCTTTGCCTCCATTTGCTTGTCTGTAAAATAGGGATGGTCAAATAGATCAAATGAGAGCATATATATGAGCGTGGTTATTACATGCCTGGCACATAGAAAGTGTTTGTATTAGTCCATTTTTGCATTACTATAAAGAACTACCTGAGACTAGGTAATTTGTAAAGAAAAAAGTTTAATTGGCTCATGGTTCCACAGGCTCTACAAAAGGCCTGGCTGTGGAGGCCTCAGGAAAGTTACAACCATGGAAGAAGGCAAAGAGGAGGCAGGTATGTCCTATCCTCTGGAGCACGAGGAAGAGAGAGCAGGGGGAGGTGAGGAAGAGAGAGCGGGGGGAGGTGCGACACACTTTTAAACAGGTAGATCTCATGAGAACTCACTATTATGAGAACAGCAAGGGGGAAATCTTCCCCTGTGATCCAGTGGCCTCCCACCAGGCCCCTCCTCCAATGCTGGGGATTGTAATTTGACATGAGATTTGGGTGGGGCCACAAATCTAAACCATATCAGTGTTCAAAAAATATATAAGCTAAATTTGGTTAGGCAATGAGAGCCTATTTCATGTGGGCAGGTGACTTAATCTCTCTGAAGTTCAAGGGAGATCCTGTAAATGGGAACCTTTTACAAACGACAAAGTGCTAGGCAAGCAAAGGACAGCATGACACTCTGCGAAGTCATTGTGATACCTTACAGTATTGATACGGAAGTGGGGCAGGGAAGTTCTGGGAAGGGAAGGGCATGGTCCCTGGCTAGGGCTCCACCCCTGGGCTTGTGCCCATTAACCTACGTGAGGACAGGTGCTCCTGTTTTCGAGCCCAAGTGTTGCATTTCCCAAGACCACTGTGGCCTGCCACACCCACATCCTGTGCCTATAAAAACCCCAAGACCCTGGCAGGCAGAGACACAAGTGGCTGGACATCGAGAGGAACACATCAGTGGAAGAAGACACAAGTGGCTGGACATCGAGAGGAACACATCAGTGGAAGAAGACACAAGTGGCTGGACATCGAGAGGAACACATCAGTGGAAGAAGACACAAGTGGCTGGACATCAAAAGGACATCGGTGGAAAAGCACACTGACTGACCACAGCAGGCCAGCAGAACAACACGGAGTTTGGCTGGGGCAGGCGGAGGAGAACCTGGGCAGCTGAGCAGCCCGACTCCATCTCCCTTCTGGCTCCCTCATCTGCTGAGACTTACTTCCATTCAATAAAACCTTGCACTCATTCTCCAAGCCCACATATGATCAGATTCTTCTGGTACACCAAGGCAAGAAACCCCAGGATCCAGAAAGTCCCCCATCCTTGGGATTGAACAGTTAAACACAAGCCACCTGCGGATGGCTAAGCTGAAAAGAGCGCCCTGTAACACACGCCCACCCACTAGGGGTTCAGCAGATAGAAACATTCATCCCTAGACACTGCTGTGGGGTCAACCCCACAGCCTGCCCATCTGTATGCTCCCCTAGAGGTTTGAGCAGTGGGGCACTGAGGAAGCTAGCCACTCCCCCTGTCGCACGCCCTGCCTGAGGGACAAGGGAAATTTTCCTATTTCAATATCAATGAGAGGTCCCTATCTGAAAGTTACTAAGGCCATTTCTTACAGCTTTATCAACCAATAGACCCAAATGCACATTGGTGGTGACTTTTAAAATTCCTTAAGAGGTTTTTGACACTATGACTTCTTCACATGGGAACTTGCAATGATTTGTTCTTTGACCACTGCTTGGCCAGGTGCTGGCTGTAGGAATATTCCTATGCTGACTGGTTTACACACAATCAGACTATTGGGAGAGGCCTGAAGGTGCTGACTGGTTTACACACAATCAGACTATTGGAAGAGGCCTGATCTTCAGGAACTCTTGTCTGGAAACTGGCTGGCTGCAAATCCAGCACAAAGTGTACTTTTCTTCCTCAGTTCTGAAATTAAAGGGTATCTCTGTTATTTATTTACAACATTTATTTTGTTTTGTGAATTACTAACATAATTCAAACCAAATCAAACTCAAACCCAGAAACAATAGCCTGATGAATTTTTAAAGAAACTTTCCAAAATAAGTCAATGTTCTTGGCTTGGGTTATGTTTGAGAAGTTTCCACCCCTTAGGAAGAGTTTTGATTTGTTTCTTTGCTTTGTGAATGTTAGAAGGCATTAAGAGCCATTACACAGGGGATCCCATTGTCTCAAATTGGAGGTGCTGCTGACATCTAAAAATTTAGAGAAATGAATCATAATGAGAGTTATTTATTAGGCACTGAATAGTTTATTATATGCCAGGCACCAGGTTATACATAATTAACATATTTTAACTCTAATGTTATTATCTCTATTTTACAGATGTAGTAACTGAGATTCAGATAAATTTTATAACTTGTGTTAGATCATACATAATTGAGGCAAAAATAAAACTGAAACATTTTTACTTCATTCCCCATGTCCTTTTAAAGACTATACCAAAAAACTGTTAGTTAATACATGAATTCAGTAGAGTTGCAGCATACAGAATCACCGTACAAAAACCAATTAGTCCTCTACATACTAAAACAAATTGTCCAAAAAATTAATTAAGAAAACAAGCCCATTGAAGATAGCATCAAAAAAATAATAATAAAGTACTTGGAATACATTTAACCAAGATGGTGAAACATCTGTGCACTGAAAGTTATAAAACAATGAAAGAAATTGAAAAAAAAAAAAAACCCACAAATAAATGGAAAGATATTCTGTATTCATGGATCTGAAAAATCAATATTGTAAAAATGTCCATACAATGCAATGGAATCTATGCATAAATAATCTCTATCAAGTTTTCAATGGCATTTTTAAATAGAAAAAATAATTCTAAAATTCATATGGAACCACAAAATACCCCAAGTGTGTAAAACAATCTTGAGAAGGAAGAAACAAAGCTGAAGGTATCACACTTAACTGCTTTCAAATTATATTACAAAGCTATTGTAATCAAAACAGTATGGTATTTGCATAATGACAGACACATAGACTAATGGAACAGAATAGAAAGCTCAGAAATAAATCCTTGCATATCTAGTCCACTAATCTTCCACAAAGACACCAAGAATAAACAATAGAGAAAGGATCATCTTTCAGCAAATGTTGGGAAGCTAGATATCCACATGCAAAAGAATAAACTTGCATTTTTATACCATACACAAAAATAAACACAAAATGAATTAAAGACTTACCTGTCTTTTATTTTCCTGATACCTTCCCCTCATTCCTGTACTGCAGGAGACTGAGCCCCTACACACTTTTGTGATGTCATCACTGGGTGTGTTTATTTGATGGTTGATTTTGCTGTACCCGAAACCTCTTTTCCCATTTTCTAATCATTTTTTAAGGCATGCTGACTCTTTTTTCTTCCCTTCTCCTTTCTCTGGGAAAATACAAGAAATAAAGGCTGATTGGTACTGAAAGGAAAAAAAAAAAAAGAGTTATATGTAAGACCTGAAATTGTAAAATTTTTAGAAGGAAAAAATAAGGAAAAAGCTTCTTGACAGTGGTCTTGGCAGTGACTTTTTGTATGTGGCACCAAAAGCACAAGTAACAATAGCACAAATAAACTAGTGGGACTCCATCAAACTAAAAAGTTTCTGCACAACCAAGGAAACCAAAAATGGAAAGGAAACCCACAGAATGGGAGAAAATATTTGCAAACAATACATCTCATAAGGGGTTAATATTCAAAATATGTAAGGAACTCATACAACTCAACAGCAAGAAAAACAACCTGATTTAAAAATAGGCAAAGTACACGAATACACATTTTTTCACACAATACATACAAATGGCCAGTAGTTATATGGAAAGATGCTCAACATCACTATGCACCAGGAAATGTAAATCAAAGCCACAGTGATATATCACCTCACACCTGTTAGGATGGGTGCTATCAAAAAATCAAAAGGTAATAAATGTTAGAGAGGGTGTAGAGTCATAGGAACCCTTATATATTGTTTGTAAGAATGTAAGTTGATACAGACGTTATGGAAAACAGTATGGACATTCCTCAAAAAATTAAAAATAGAACCACTCCATGATCCATCAATTCCACTTTTGAGTATGCATTCAAAGGAAAGGAAATCAGTAGCTAGAGAAGATGTCTGCAGCTCCACGTTCATTGCAGCATGATTCACAATAGCCAAAATATGTATAAAATCTAAGTATCTGTGAACAGATGAATAGACTAAAAATGCGATACACACACACACACAAACATACATATATGTCATGGAATATTATTGAACCTTAGAAAAGAAGGAAATCCTGACATTTTGCAGCAACATTGTTGAACCTGGAAGATGTTGTACTAAGTGAAATAAGCCAGACACAGAAAGACAAATATTGCATCATATCACTTCTATGTGGAACCTAAACAACTTGACTTCTTGGAAACAGAAAGTGGGATGGTTACCAGGGATTAGGGGACAGGAGAAATAGGGAGATTTGTCAAAAGGGCACACACTTTCAGTTATAAGATGAATAAGGGTCGGGCACGGCAATGCATGCCTGTAATCCCAACACTTTGGGAAGCTGATATGAGAGGATCTCTTGAGTCCAGGAGTTCAAGACAAGCCTGGGCAACATAGTGAGACCCCATCTCTACAATTTTTTTTTTAATTAGCTGGTCATGGTAGTACGTACCTATAGTCCCAGCTGCCCTGGAGGCTGAGGCAGGAGGATTACTTCAGTTCAGGAGTTTGAGTCTGCAGTGAGCTGTGATCGTGCCACTGCACACCAGCCTGGTCAATAGAAAGAAACCTTGTCTCTAAATAAATAAATAAATAAATAAATAAATAAAAGATGAGCACTACCTGGAGTTCTAATGTACAGCAGATAACTACAGTAAATAATAATGTATTATGTACTTGAAATTTGTTAATAGAGTAGATCTCAAGTATTCTCACTGCAAACAAATGGTAACTGTATGAGGTTATACGTATATTTATTAGCTAGATTTTGGCAATCATTTCACAACATATACTTATATCAAAACATCACATTGTACACCATAAATATATACAATTTTAATTGCCAATTAAACCTCAACAAAGCTGAAAGACAGAACAAAAGTTCTTTCCATTTATCTTCATCACCCTTCCGTCCCTCATGCACACACGTGTTAACATCGTGTTTTCCTTTTTTTTCTTTCTCTCATGTATTTTCCTAATGAATATTTTCAGTTAGCCCCAGTAGACACTGGGAAGTAGTAAAGGGTCTCCCCAGGGACACTATTCTTTTCCCAGTAAATTACTGGGCACCACCTTGCCTGTCTTTAGTATACTTTTCATTCAGATGTATTTACATCAGCCCTCAGCATGCTATATGCATCTGAGAAAATTCATTGAATAAGGTATTATATAACCAATTATTATATGTAAGGGAATTATTTTCATCATAATCCCAAATCAACATCCCAACTAAAAAGTCCATTCAGAACCATTAAAAATGCATTGTGTGAATGAAACAAGTGAAGAACTGAAAATGGAAAATATGATTCAAATATGATTCAAATATAAACACTACTTCACTTAAAACCCAACAGAACCTCATTCTCACTTCTAAACTAACTCATTTTCACTTTGCTCCTGTGGTTACTAAGAGACATGATTTATTGTAAAGTGTATCTCGGGGCTGCTTCCTGAGCCAGGAAGAGAAGTTGTCTTTGACATTCCTTGACCCTCATCCTACCTTGAATTAAATACCAGACCTGTCGATTCTACTCCTCTACAAGGGTCCACTTCTCTCCGCTGTCACTACCCCAATCCCCACTTGAATTCCCGTGTAGCCAGCTGATGGACTTCGCTTCTACTCTAATCCAGACTCCCCGTGGCAGCATAAGCGAGCCTTCTAAAACACATCTGGACACACTGTCCCTGCAGGAAACTCTTTAGTGGCTTCCCCTTCCTCTTAGGTCACGTTGAATCCATGAGAAGGGCCCCCAGGTTCTTTCTCACCTGGCCTCTACCTCCCTTGCAAACTTCATCTCTCTTTGCACACTACCCCACCGTCTAACTCTACATTTTAGCCAAAATGAGCTTCCTTCCTTCTTTTCTCTCTTTCTCCTTCTCTTCATTACCTCCCTTCCTCTCTCTTCCTTCACCCTTCCTTTAATTTTTTTTCGGAGCAGAATGTGCCTCTTGCCTTTTCCTTCAGCCTGGACTAGCCATGCCTCCTTTAGACCTAGCCAGCTGAGATGTAGCTTTGAAGCTCTGGACTCGAGTTGTCCTTCTCTGGGAAGCCTTCCCTGTCCCCTCCTCTAGTGAGGTAAGACACTGTGGGCCTCCTCTGTCACAGCATCTGCCTCACTTGATGGCCATTGCTTGTTTGGTTGCTTGTCTTCCCCATAGACCCAAAAGCTCCATGAGACAAGGCTCTGTGGTTTTCTCACCATCAGCGTACTGCGTCTACCTGTAGGAACAAATGGATTTTAAATGTATAATACCATTCATAAAAATGCAATGTGCTATCTAACTTGAAGGTACACCACTAGCAACCCCAGGGAATTTGGGATGGAGCTAGAATCAGAACCCTTCTCTTGAGACTCCTCATTCAATACTCTTGTAAGTTTGGGTTAAAGAAAGGAGCCTGGCATCTCGGATTGAGTCTCAGCAGCATCATATCCAAGCAGAGTGACTTTAATCAAATAACTCCTTGAGCCTCTGTTTCCTCGTCTGTAAAATGGGGTTAATAATACTCACCCTGTCTACCTCTCAGTGATGTGAGGGGGATCTATTGAGATAATGTGAAAATGCATTATAAATTTTAAAATACTTTAAAAGGTAGATATACATTGGTTAGAGAAATGAAAAGAATACCAGCAGCCCCCACTCTGTGGAATAATAGCTAACACTTAACATATGCCAAGGGTGGCTGCACCTCCAGCCTCCTCTTCCTTCCAACCACCCCAGGCTAATGAGGTGTCTTCATGCCTATAGCAGTGTAGAGGAACAAAACTGATGGGAAGAGCTCAAGTTTTCATAGAATCACACTTGCATGACAGGAAGCCAATACAAAAACAGCCCAGCGGACACCTTGCTAAATCACCATGTTGAAGAGTAGTGATGGTCATTATGGTAATGGAACAGCAGTGGATTAGATTCCTGGGGCTGCCATAACAAATTTTCACAAACTAGGTGGCTCCAAACAACAGAAATGCCTTCTCTCAAAATTCTGGAGGCCAGAAGTCTGAAATTAGGGTGTCAGCTGGGTAGGTTCTTTTTTGGGAACTTGGGGGAGAATCTGTTCCTCACCTCTTCTAGCTTCCAGAGGTTGCCAGCAATTCTTGGCATGCCTTGGCATGTAGTGGCATCACCTCAGTCTCTGCCTCTGTCTTCACTTGGTGTTCTCTCTCTCTGCCTATCTCTGTTTTCACTTCTTAGAAGGACACAGGTAATTAAATTAGGACCCACCCTAATCGAGTATGACTTCATCTTAACTAAACACATCTGCAAAATCACTACTGTACTTCCAAATAAGATCACTGCTATGGATTGAATTGTGTCCTCCCAAAAGTCATATTTTGAATCCCTAACCCTGATGTGACTGTATTTAGAGACAAGGCCCGAGGAGGTTATTAAGATCTAATGAGATTATAAACATGGAGCCTTGACCCTGTAGTGCTAGTGTCCTTAGAAGAGGAAGAATTGTCAGAGCTCTTTCTCTCTGCCATGTGAGGACACAGCAAGAAGGCAGCCATCTGCAGCCCTAGGAGAGAGCCCTCACCAGAACCCAAGCCTGGTACTGTACTTCCAGTCCCCAGAACTATGAGAAGTAAATATCTGTTGCTTAAGTCACCCAGTTTGTAACATTTTGTTATGCAGCCAGAACAAACTAATACAATCACACTCTGAGATTCCCAGTTGTGATAGTTAATACTGAGTGTCAACTTGATTGGACTGAAGTATTGTTCCTGGGTGTGTCTGTGAGGAAGTTGCCAAAGGAGATTCACATTTGAGTCAGTGGATTGGGAAAGGCGGACTCACCCTCAGTCTGGGTGGGTACCATCTCATCAATTGCCAGTGTGGCCAGAATAAAAGCAGGCAGAAGAATGTGAAAAGGCTAGACTGGCTTAGCCTCCCAACCTACATCTTTCTCCCATGCTGGATGTTTGCTGCCCTAGAACATTGGACTCCAGGTTCTTCAGCTTTGGGACTCAGCCTCAGCTTGCAAATGGCTTATTGTGGGACCTCACCTTGTGATTGTGTGAGTCAATACTCCTTAATAAACTCCCCTCTATATATACATCTATCCTATTAGTTCTGTCCCTCTAGAGTACCCTGACGAATACACCAGTGAACATGCGTTCTGGGAGATATTAGTCCCCCCAGTAGTGCTGGTGAACTCCACTAGCTTTTCTTCTTCAGAGACTTTGTTTAAGAAGGCAGAGAAGACAGTAAGTTATTTATAACGATCTTCATTGATATTTCGAATGGAAAGCGTCATTTATCGGAAAAAGTACTTCACAAGGGCTTCCTTGTTTCTCAGTAATCAAAGACAAACGAGAAATCTATGTAATAATGAGAATAATGGTTGTTCTTATTATTATAGTTCAACTGATTTGGGGGATAAGATTTGGTTTAGAAACGTTTGCCTTTCATGTGTTTGCAGTTTTGCTGGTTTGGAAATGTTATTTTTGTTGAAGTCTAGTGCTGCTGCCTCTGCACATGCACTCATTATCCCATTCTTGAATGGACATATGGCACAGAAAGTTCAGAAAATACTGCCCAATTTGTCTAAATACCAATTCATGGCCTCATTCACCATGGGGCCCATTGTGCTGGGAGAACACAGCTGTATAACCTTATCAACACTGGCCAGAGGAGTGCCCACGAGTTCAAATGCTAATCCAAAGCCCATATTTGCCTTGGCACAAGGTTGCTGCACACTTGGAATGTGCAGGTTCGTGAGGGACTTTGAAATGGTTGGAAGACAGAAGGTGAGAAGAGGGTGTTCCTATATCCCTGATCCCTACCTAATTTCAACACCTGTGGCCAACTTTCCTATGCCAGGAAATTGGAAATGAGTATTATTTTCTGAAATCTTTCTTTCCCATTCCCAGCTGATTCCCATAGCTCTTATTTCCAAGGTACGATAATGAGAAAATTACTGAACTAATATTTTCCTCCAAGGTGAAAGTGGTGTTCCTTTCTTAAGTCCTATCTTCCATGCATGTGGGGAACAGGAGAACAAACACAGAGAAATCAAGTCCGGGACTGCCTGTTCTTCATCCTGGATCTGCAGAAACCAGGGACTGGGGAGCATTCAGTCAATTTAATGAATGAGTCACTTCTAACAAACAGTATGTGACAAAGCGCTGGAATAATATAGAAAGATCTCCTCTCCTTAGGAATTTATTAATTCAGTGACTATTAATTGAGCATTTTCTATGTGCCAGTGACTATGGTCCTCAAGAAAAAGATTGAAACCATCATTCTAGCAGTAAAAGAGCTTATAATTATGTGAGGAACACACAGCTTTACTCTATACTACCTCTATAACCTGGGGCGATTTACTTAACTTTCTGGGCCTCGGTTTTCAAATTCACACAATCAAGATATCGATAATAATAATAATAACAACAGTGTAGTATGGAATAGTTATGAGGATTGAATGAATTAAAATTAAAAGAGCAGGCAGGACAGTTTCTGGAGGAGTAGGAAGGCACTTTGGGGGAATACATGACATAGGATATCCCACTAAAGGTGTAATTGTGCTAAGGCAAACATGATGGCAAAAGTAAGGTTGGTGCAAAAGTAAATGGCAAAAATCACAATTACTTTTGTACTAACCTAATAAAAGCAGTTTCTATAAGGACTAGAGATGCAGCTGAGCCCAATATTATCACAAGCGTTGACCTGGGCATAGGGTGTCTGCGAATGGGCCTCTGATGAATACAGCACTTGCTCTTGGGGGGCTCCCCATCCAAGGAGACTGTGACCCATGACAGCACACTGTGTAACACGTGTTCACAGCCTCAGACGACCTGTACTTCCTCACCTCTAAACTCACCTGTGTCCATGCTTCCGGAATGTCCAGCAGGCATTGGGGCCCTCAACTTGAACCCTGTCTGCTGTCTGAGTGTTTTATCGCGAACACGTGCTGCTTATGTGTTACTTTTTAATAAACAGGACGTGCTACTGATGTCTCTAGGTCATTTCCAGCTCAAATGCACTTTATTGTCTTTGTCAATAATGGCGTTTGGGTTCCCATTTCCACTCATATAAAACAGCTGGTTTGTGTGTGAGGTGGGGGATAGAAAATGGGAGAAGCGTGCTGCAGGAGTCCGCAGACTGGCTCTTCTCTCTGGCTTCCCTCCTCATGACAGACGCTCTCCCTCCTCATGATAGGTGCTGTCTCAACCTAGGGAACAAAAGGGATTTGTTTTGTTTGTTTCTTTCTGAAATGCTATATCAGCCAAGGAACAGGGACAAGAAAACGTCAAGAGCCACCGTGGTGTCTGCAGTCAAGGCCTCAGCAGGGCACGTGTTACACAGTGTGCTGTCACGGGTCACAGTCTCCTTGGATGGGGAGCCTCCCAAGAGCAAGTGCTGGATTCATCAGAGGCCCAGAATGTGAGTGCTGCAGAACATCTGACATGGCAGGTGTCTGGTAAATGCCTAAGGGACAAGTGATGCCAGATGCCAGGGGCTGAGCAGAGCTCTGGCACTTGGGAGGCAACTGGCCTGTCCAGGCAGAGCTGGGCAGGTTTTCTTCCCAGGGTCTCAAGCCGCTACTGAGAGTACAGGTGACTCTTGGACAGATTCCACTCTGGCTCACTGCAGGGTTCACCCCAGCCCAGAACCCTAAGCAGAGGGCATCCACACGTGTGAGAGTGTGATCTGCTCCTCCCAAGAAAGGCAGGCTTGCTCTGAGAGGATGAAAGGCCCCGGGGCTTGCAGTTTCAGAAGCCAGGAGGAAGAGCCTACCTCCCCCAGTTTCAGAGGGGCCCCTTCTACTTCACCCCCCTTCGTGGGGGATGTGAAGAACATCCAGTGTTCTCAGGTCCACCTCTTCACCTCCTATGAGATGCTTGAGAGAACAGCACAACTTTCAGGTGTGCAAGTCTGCGTTACAGAATAAACAATGAAAATAGTCCCATTAAGTGTGGAGGGAAAGAACAGGAGCGACGAGGGAAGATTCCAGATCCAGGGCTGGCCCTGCCATCAACTTCCTGTGTGTCTGGGGGAAATCATTCAACCTTTGTGGGCCCATCTCTCCATCTATCAAAGATGAAAGCCACCTGGATGGTGTACGAGGCAGCTTTAGCTCTGGTTTCCTGTGCTCTACTCCCCAACATGGGATCATCTTCCCAAAGATGTCTGCTGGTGACTCGCGCCATCCCTCTCTGTATTTCTCTGCAATTCTCCTCCCGGGGCTTTGACCCAGAGACTCGAATATGTAAATGCTTCCTTTTTTCATCCTCCAACAGATGTGCTTATCTGGTTCAGTTCTAATTGCAACTAAGTCGAGCCATGACAAATTCAGTACATTCTGTTTCTGCTTCAGAAATACCTGGTAGTATTTCAAATGCAAAATTACAAAGAATTCAGACATCAAAGTGGCCAAACCATGTGTCCTGTATTACTAGCCTATGTTCTCTGTATCTACTCAGTGATTGGGTCTTAAAAGTTGGTTGTAGTTTCTGTGGATTGCAGTAAAAAGCTGAAGATTACCTAAAATTGGGATGGTTTGTATTTAGCTGCTAAAGAAAGTCCTCCTTAACAGAATAGAATAATTACAAACAGATCTTTGCTGTTATTTCTTTTTCAAAGAGTGTTTAACTTTTAATAATTTTATTCAGTTTCAAGCCCTAAGCAAGAACATATGGAACAATTAATAATATTTATCTGTTAAATGAGCTTTCTCCCATGTAACGAATACTTTGAACGTATAATTTGTATGACATACAGTTTTCCCTAACCTAAAATTGGAAAATCCTTTAGCTAGTACACCAAAATGTCTGAGCTGGAGAAGTTTTCATTAATTTGCACAAGCAAGCATGCACCAATTCTTGTTTGGATTAAATTTTTTACAACTCTAATGGAAAAGTTGGAGGAGACCTACTCCAATCCTTCAAATCCCTTTGCATCCAACTTACATTTCTTAGACCTTTTAGAACATGTAATATAATCCTTAAGAGTAGGAAGCTGGTAAATCAAGATAATAATTTCTCTCCAGCTTAACTAATCTCATAGTAAATATGGACTCTTACTATTCTCTTGGCTTTGGCTGCCATGTTTATGTATATATTTCCTCAACTCCAGCAGTACTTTTATTCTCACCAATAAGTCTGTGTCCATTTCTTGAATCCTTTATGTAAAAGGTATAGCATCTTCTTCACATGCAGAAGGAGAGAGTTTCCAACAGTTATTTGGAAATATTAGCTCAGTCACCTAGGCAGGGGGATTGTGTTTCTCCCATCCTCCCCTCTCAGATCTTTATAGGAATAAACAGAGGGTCTTCCATTCACTGCTTCCAAAAGCTCATGCTTTCCTTTCCTTTGATTGTATTTCAGCCTTGCCTTCAGTCCCCTTCACTTCCATGTGAATGAGATGGATTTCAGCATTCTCCCCAAGCTCACTTTCCCCCAAAATTCTCAGTTAATGATTCCTCAGATTTTATCCTGTCACTCTTGGTTTTCTTCTCTCTTTATCCCAGGCACAGAAAATCCTATGTTCACCCAAACCAATCAAGAGCGCCTACTTCAATGTTTATGTGTTAGGCACACTTGGAGTTAGTTACTCATCCCCAGGGAAAAGGTAGAGTCTTTTCCCACTCTACCTTTCAGACCTGGCAATGCCTGCATGTTCTACGAATTTCCATGTGCTCCCTGCAGCCAAGTTCACTTCTGCAAATAAGCTAGTGAAACAGTGTTCACCACCAATTCTATGATCTTGGATGTGCAAATTTCTGATTTTCTTATTTTGCCTTTTTCTTCGTATTCTCTTACTCAGTTACTAAGGTTTTTTGTGGTTCCTTTTATCATTTGACATGCGCCTTTGGAATGGTACTCATTTCTTTGTTGAGCTGGGTAAGAGGTGAGGAGGAGAAATGTTCTATCTTCTTTTCTTCATCGAGATCTAATTCACTCAAAATACATTCCTATAGCTAATAAATGATCATTCTCTCAAGTTGATGATCTCATGCATGTTCAAGAGTTTGCCATATTTGCAGCAGTAGACTCAAAATCCTAAAAATTTAAAAAACATAAATACAAAACCTAGTACATGGAAGAAGGGTCTTCTACGTACTGAGTTTTGAAATATGCAACAGAAACCAAGAAATGTGTCCAAGTCATTATATTCCTAATTGTCATGCTTCTTATTGTACACTCTCCACATTTTGAGAATTATTTATTCAGGAAAAGTCACTCATACTTTCCACAAATATTTACTAAGCAATTGCTAAAATTTGTGCAGTGTGCCAGGTAGTAGAGATGCAAAGATAGAACCCTCAAGGAAGACCCAGCAGACATAGCTTGTAACTAATGATTGCAATGCAATATGTCACTCCATTCACGGAGGTACTTAAGAGGGTTACTGGAACACAACCAGCATGCTCAGAGGTGTCAAGAAGCAATACATGAAGGTGGCCAGATTTGGACTGAGACTCCCTGGACAAACAGGAGTTGACTGGATGTACAAGTGAATAAAGGCATGAAAGGCAAGATAAAAGGCATCAAATCATATCAACTCAGCAAACTAATGTCCTGACACCAGATTTCCCAAATGTCTCTAGAGTGATATGGTGAGGGGTGGTGGGGCAGGATGCTCAGGTAACTAATTAGCTGCATGTTCAGTTTTCTTAGGTTCAGTCTGTGTCAATGCTAAAACCAGATCACTGGATTCCTGCCTCTGGCTCTTTTCATGTTCCTGAAAATTACATTTAATAAATTGTAGACCTTTGAAATCTCTGTGCTGCTCATGTTAGTCACTTTAGTTGCATTAATACTTTTTTCATCAGGTATTTATGATATTGAAATATAACTAATATATCTATTTCAATATCCCAGATCCCATCTTAAAGAAATAAGCTAAAACACACCAAAAGCTAAAGAATTGCTTTTGTCCCCTATATATAAGTTTTTCCGCATTTTGCATATTCTTTCATTGTTTCAACATTCAGCACTTCTCAGTGAGGATACTTTTGGTAAGTCACAGAAGTCCTTCTTCCAGGCTCCAATTCTAACCACCCCTTCCTGGCCTTGTGATGGAGCCATGTCACTTCATCTCCTTAAACTTCTGTTCCATCAACTGCAAGATGGAAACAATGATAGTACCTCCTCCATGGTGATTTTTGTGAGTACAGCCTGAGTTTATCCATGTGAAACTCTCTGAATTGTACCTGAAACTTAGAAAGTGCCCAATAAATGTTGTCTGTGATTTTTAAATTTTCTTTATTAAAACAATGGGTATTTACTTTTTCGAGACTAAAATGCTTCACATTAACTTCACACTTTATGGGCAGGGAGTTACTATAAACTCTAAATGATCTGATACCAGTGCCCAAGGGACATTCTTATTTCACCCAAGTGAAGACTGTGCTACAAAAAGGCATTAAGCACGGGACAGTGGTTTAATTCTTGCCTTCCCTGACTTCATCTCACTCCTAAGTCTTCTGCCCTGGATAACGAGGGGCTCATTCTCTCGTGGGCACTTGTGTGGCATCTCCTTCCAGGGCCAACCAACTCACCAGCTAACTGGGTGTCCTACAGTTCAAGTCTATCCTGACACTAAATGCCCAAAGTTAGACTCCGAGTTCCACGAGACTGCCCTCACGCCAGACACCAGCCACAAATGGGATGTCCAGGTCACCCACCCTCTGCCGGCCAACTACAAATTCAGGGTTGCCCACAACCCCCTCTTTAGGTTTGATCATTTTCTAGAATGACTTGCAGAACTCGGAAAAAGAGCTTTACTGATGTTTATCAGTTGATTGTAAAGGATGCCACCTAGAAACAGCCAGGCAGAACAGCCCCACAGGACAAGGCTGGCAGAGGGCACGGAGTTTCCAGTTCTCTGCAGGGGTGCCACCTGCCCTGCACCTCAGTGTGCTCCTCAATCTGCAAGGTCCCCAAAGCCTGTTGTTTAGGGGTTTTATGAAGGTTCCATTGCCATTGGTGACTGATTTCAATTTCTCATCCTGAAGCTATCTGATCCCCTTTTATTTCTCTAAAAGTCCTCTCACCAGAATCTCCAAGACAGTAAATTCCAAGGGTTTTAGGACCTCTGTGTCAGGAACCAGGGACAAAGACCAAATACTTATTTTCTATTGAACCACAGGACCTCAGTTTTAAAGATCTGCTGACCCTGCCCAGGCTGACCTGATGCACGAAGCATGGAGAGGAACCCAGGACAGAC